TTTCGGAGCGTCCATGCCTTCCAGGTACTCAGAAATCGGATCCTCTCCCTGCATCTCCTTGTCTTCGTGCGTTAGCGCATCGACGAGAGCAGTCTTCTCGCCCTTCTTCAACTTCTTCACATCTTCAGTGAGGCTCGACAGCCACGCGTTGTCCTCCGCCTTCGCCAGGAAGAGTTGCAGTTTGTCTGCATCGACATCCTTCAAGTCGTTCGTCTTCTCCCCCTTGATCGCCTTCTTCAGGTCATCCACTGAGTCGCTCTCGTCTACTCGCACGGAGAAAGCACTTCCCGCCACTCCAACGACCGCACACACTAACTTCACCATCTTTCCTCGAGCCGGCAGATTCTGGAATGAGGGGAGAGAATTTCCGTTCGTATTTAAGCGGACATGAAGGCGTGTCACATAGACTTCCAACCAATGGCGAGAGGCCACTTAGTAGTTAGAATGGCAGCCATACCTCCTTTTACCACAATCCCAATGATGACATGCGCGGTGCTTGGCCTCCAAGTTGGAGGTGTGGAGGAGACCTCCTTCGCACCAGATGCTACTTAGCGGTATTGTAGTCGATTTCACCAACTGGTGGTCAGGAAGCTCTAAACCTACTCTCGTTGGTAAATTACGGGAAGAAAAAAAAACTGGCGGCGTTATGTGCTGGATATTACTACTTCTGTCGTCGATGTCAACGAAGCCCCAAAATTTGATGCTTTTGCTCAGAATGCGCTGACAATTACAGAGATTGCTCAACTGGACGACGGTATTGGTGGAGTTCTACACTATATGACTCCTGGCGGCAAGTTTTTTGGCAATAATTCCCATGACCTCCTTCTCGATGGGACGTATGACTTTGTTTTCGGTGACTTATCGGATGTGCTACCTCGCACAGCAATAACTTCGAGGTCACGAACGTCGCTGCAAACGTCTGCAGTCTAAGACGATAGGCCAACGCTGTCGTGTTAATGAAGTTCTGTCCATAGGCAAAAATCGACAGAGGCTCGTCACTGTCGAACGCTTGAGTTGGGGCGATGGCCTCGAGAGTTTCGTCTTGGTAGTACAGGAAGTTGATTCCACTGAGAGAGAAATCCTGCTGGTTGTTGGACACTTCCACGGACACTAATCGGGTAAAGTACTGCGGGTAGTAATGCGCGTCCGGGAACAAGTAGAAACTGCCAACATTTGGATCAACGTTTTGATTTCGATACTCCGGCAGCGATGCAGGCAAGAGGCCACCACTGTGAGTCGGTAGAGGTGGCGTTGTGCATCGCATCTTTGTTGGACTAATGTACTCACCGGGAGTCACGACGTAGCCGAAGCGACAGGATAACAAGGAAAAATTCACCAACGCCACTCCGTCCATATCAATTCGAGTTCCAGCTGCATGTGCTGGGCCAAAAGTGGGGGAAATGGAACGGACTCCTTGTTCCTCGTAGTATGTAAACGGTATCAGTGTATCTGTAATCCTGGCCATTTCGAGTCAATTCCAGCGTGAAAACGCCTTGGCTATGAGGTGGTGCGGTACACAAAACTTCATCGTGACTCATCCAACTGGCGACCACAACAATCTCAGCGAACTTGTAACGTATACTGTCGGTTTTCTTAAAATGGTCCACCTGTTATTTGAACTGAGAAATTCCCCGTTATCGGTCCTGAAGAAGGGAAAACCGAGTCAATTTTCATCTCTGGATCGTACGTGAAGACGTTTCTACTGCTTGTGAAGATCGACTCCCCAAAGTCCATGGTTGGTTATTTCCACGTACACGTCGCCTTCGTTAAGACCACTAGGAGATATGCACGTGAACTGTGTCGAGTTGATAAATGTTGCGGCTGCTGTAGCGCGTTCACCAAACTTACAACGTAGACTACTCGTGTTCTGGAAATTATTACCAGTAACGACAACTCCGGTTCCTCCTATTGGAGGCCCATGATTCGGATGGAGCGAATATACATCAGGCGTTGGAGTGTAGTGATACACGTTTCCACTTGTAGAATAGTCCTGGTTATTGGAAGACACCTCGACAGCCACTTTGACGCCGTCAATACCGAAACCTTTCTGTAGTCTCGTGGTTTTTGTGGTTACAGCAGACCCTGCAACACTGGCTTTGTCAACTTCCAGTAAAGGTACACCGAGATACGCGTGTGTGTATGTAACTATCCACTCGTACTCCCAATTCGAGACTACTCGCCCTAACGAGACCAAAGTTCCAGTCAAACCAGGAAGCAACGATAGCTTCTGCGCCATAGTAGTCGCATCGACATTAACGGCATTCTCGACGTTTTCTCGGGTGTACAATAGTCGCCTATCGCCAGTTCTGTACAAGTTTCTTTCCCACTAAGCAACGCAAATGTTCCGGACAAGGACAACAACGTCGAAGGGTAAACTGTAACATGTACGTCCAAGTCTGAAGGATATGACCCTATCAGCTCGATAGTTAAAGGAATCGGAGATTTTCTCGTGCCTTCGGTCAA